GAGCATGCGTCAATTGAGTTCATCTTCACTTTAGCATAAATCAAAGGCACACACTAAGGAAACAGTCGCTGTTTTGATATGTAATTATTTATTGTCAAGTGTGAATATGTATCAAGTATATTTCTTATCTATGTGAACCCCAGGGCCAATACCTAGTTTTATTCACATAAGTCTTTCTCTCACCGAGTCGCTCTCTATATAACGTAGGCCACTACATCAGTTGTTTTGTACTTGTGTGTTTTTTGGCAAAGGATTGTACACCCATTACAAATGTGAACCGTATGATTGTATTTCTACTTGTTTTTAAACATTACTATTGTTGTAATGCAAGTATTGTGTAATATTTATAATAAGATAACAACAGTTTGGGAACGTCATCAAAATGCTATGAATAATAACTTCAGGGGAGGAAATACCAGAACCTACAATTTACTTAGGAAGTGTATTAAGACCCCTAATCATCGCTGGCAAAATTAAAATATGAATTTTATGTAATCCTCTTTCAACACACTTTCGTTTGGTCGTATGTCGTGATACAAAAAAACCCCAAAAAACCTCATTTGGTTGACGTTTAATCTTCACATTCTACACTCATAATTGTATACGAAAAGCAGTATAAACTAGTTATTTTAGATCAACATTCGTTGTATGGTCGTTTACCGTATTGAAACACGATTCAACATTACTCAATGAACTAAAAGTCCTACGTGAATTACATGTACACTGTTTCTAAATGTTTTTTCCTCAGATACGTATGTTTTATACCGTTTATGTATATGACAAGTATATATAAATACAAAAATAATGTACTGTTATTAATTGTTTATATTAATTCTGACAATGATGCGTATATTAACACTTTAAATTGTAATTGCGTTGTGCTATTACGAGTAACAATGCTAGAATGTTAATGCACGGTCATCTGAACTTGAAAACATTCATTTTGACTGCCCGCAGTTACAAAATAATTGTTGTTAAACTCCTGTTGACCTAAATAGAAATCTACAAATCAATAATCTAAGTCAATATATACAAATTCGTGTTATGGCTTATCTCGTATACGTGTTTATTAATGCCTGTTGCTCCTAAAGTAATTGATTAAGGAAAAAATGTAGGCATTTATAGTGAATCAATACAACTGGGAGTTTTTGTCAGATGATCAGTTTTCTAATTTAATGATCGGTAGAACTTGATGGGTATGGTATAATAATTGGCTCAGTGGATAAGAAAACTAATATTACCATACCACTAATTGTTTTATATATATGCGGCAGTGCTCGCGCTTGGTGCGATACCACAAATTGAAAATTATTTCCAATTGCATATAGTACTGTTAATCCATTGATGCTTCATGTAGGTAATAGTTACCTTTGCATAAAAACCCAATCAATGAAAGACGGGGGATAGGGTCTGTATTTCAAAAATACATATTTATAATACAATTATTAGTTATTCGACATTTTTTTATCTAGACGTCTTAAAACATTACCACTAATGAAAATCAGATTAAGTTGTTTTCCAATAAAATTTATTCTGTTGTAGGTGTATTTTGTAAATTGTTGCCGTGGTTGGAGTTCTATCTAGAAGTTTTGTTATGTATTCGTAATATGCCTATAATTTGTATTAGCTCCATGCAAATGCTTCTCACTGCTGGTTGACATGACATTCTTATTACTGACCATGACCGCTCGGCTTTGTACGCATACAGAGATTTGGTGTTTCCATCTTGTCTCTACATGTCTGTGTCCATTTCACGTAATTTCGATCTCTCTTTTTGAACAGTCGGTGAAGTGTATTGCGCGTCTGTTTATAGTCGCCTGCTGCTCTGTTGTGGTCATATGTCCAGATCACGCGTGTTTCTGTTCGTAATATTCGTATAATTTATATTTTGAACAGAAGAGAGTGAATTATCATGTGAGTCGGCGTGTCAAGAAGTTATCTATGATTCTACCATCAGTTATGGATCTTATCCGTCTCTACAAATACTGAAGAAAATACAATTGATGAGAAATATAACAGAAGCTGAAATTAGGTAATACATGAAACCTATATTGAGGACTTAATAAGAAAATTAACCTTGTATCTATTTTGATATCAGTTCATATGTCTCGAGCAAGCATCTATACTAATTGAGCAATGTGTGATTTGAAAAAAAAACATGCAGTTTACTCAATTCAATCCATTCAATTTGAAATATGAATGGTGTCAATACATGGCAATAACATACGTGTGTTTTATTAGCCGTAGAATAATCAGAAATTCAGGTTTACATTGACTTTGCTTTGCTTTATGAATAACTCGTTCAGTTTTAGATCAGCAGAAATTACTTATCGGTCGAGTTTTCACTCTGTTTTATTTGTCCAGAGAAAATTATTTAGCAATCAGTGTTTTTATCGAAGATCTTACCGTCCTATCAACAGAAGAAGAATACTCCTATACGTATGATGCTTTTCTTGGTAAGTGAATATTTTCTAATTTATTATAACCGGGTATTGTCAATTTCATATCCGTGTCACGCAATCACTATATATAATAGGTTGTTGGTTTGTACAAAATAATTCATCTGATGTGAACTACACTTGTTTTACTTAGTATTCGGCCTCTCACATATGATTATATTTGTCCATGAAAACAAACTGGATATTGGTATAGTTTTACCTGGTAAAGCATCTCTAGTATTTGATAATCATATGCGTCCTGAGATAACACAATGAATTGTATTTTTCAGGTGATATCGGTGGACAATTCGGGCTATGTCTGGGAGCGAGTTTATTGACACTGTTGGAATTCTTCGATTTCCTTATGATGTCGTTGTGTGGTGCTTGTAGACGATGGTATAATAGAAGTCGCAAACAATGAGCACCTTCTTCTCTACTATGTTTGAATTGTATATTTACATTCTTTTTAATTTTATGAACTACGAGAGACAATATTTCCAACGCGTATATCTCATGCTAATACGTGTTGCCTAATCGCACCAATTCATATAACAAATTACACTTTCACTCACGGCAAACCAACTTTCTACTATTTTTCCAATATCATGAATATAGTTTAGAGTGAGCATTTTGAACATACATGGATTCAATACTGTACGATTATGCAGGAATTACTGGCGAATTTACATAGATGTATCGCTGGAAACCTTGTTAGAGCAGTCAAATACTATGGGTGGAATATTACTATCCTAGACATTAGAGCCTTTTAGGAGTCAAAAAAATGTTACACTTTTTATTAGCGCTGTATATGTACATATTTGTTAAGATCACTTCTCATAAATGTTATACCTCGTCACGCGTTATTGTTTTTATATCGAACGTACACAGAAAATCCTCATTAAATCAATTTAGAAAAATATCGACCTCCCATATCACCACCTCTCATAGTAGTAGCATGAAGACGTGCGTGCAGTTAATAAATATGACAAACTGTTAATACTATTCATAGTCGCTCGTATTTTACTGTAATAGATTCAAGTAAATAAATCACATTTTACAACTTACTTGCTTAGAGCAAGGTTGTACGTTCAATACTATTGACGATGGTGCATGTATGATGTCACGCATGTCTTATATTCAAAAATTTACTAAGCATGCTACTATAAGAACCTATACACTATCTGATAGCTTAGATATACACCAATGCGGTAGTGGTTGAGGTGCTAGTTACGACATACAGTATTTGTCTGTATTTAAACTTTAAAATGGTGTATAGGTTGTTATTGTACCATGCTTTAGTAGCTAACTTAAATAACTACCATTTTATTATATAATACTGTACACAATTCTTGTTATTGAACCACATAGTTGTTTTAGGTGTTCACTACCATAAATATGAAGAATTAATATTCATTTTGCTTTCAATTATTGTATTAGCTTTCGACTTATTTTTTACAGATTAATTCAATTATTTACACTTGAATCTTATTTCTCAGAATAAACTATGCAAATAATCTCTTAACGTGTTTTAACTGTGTATTACATAAAATGTACATTATATTATCACAATATCACTGTGTAGTGCTAATGACATTTAGATCAAATATTTCTCATTGATTATTGTAATTCATTGTGAATAATTGATTCAAGAAATGACATTGTATCTAGAATTACAATGACATTGATGCATCAGTATTTGGTGACATTCAAATATGTAAATTTAACTTATGTATATAATCATTTAATGTCATAATCAATAATGTGTCAAAATATGAGGCAGTATACATAATAAAAGCTATACGATATGTCCTCTAAAAAACACACTATTCAGCACTTTATTTACTTGGTATCATGACATACGCGTAGTGGACTGAAAGTGACATTGTTTAGTTGGGGTCATGTAAGTAATGGGGGGGGGATCCAATCTTTAAAATCGCCAGACTTAGTTAATGATTATTTTTATATTACAAAAAAACAAATTGAATACATTTTTCAACAGGGGGGTCTGGACTCCAAGAACCCCCCCCCCGATCCGCCACTGTATATAAACATTTATTATACACAAGCACACAAATCAACCAAACATTAAACAAAGAAAATGATAACCATGCTAGTTGACAATCTAATGTTACAGTAATAGGTATAGATCTAACAAATGGTAAACTAAATTATAAAGAACTTTCTCAAAACGATACAATTCGTTTCACTAAACCTCATCCCAAACTGTGATATCTAGTGGTGTTTGTATGTGTGCAGTGTCACTGTACCGGGTGTTCATTAGTCTTTCACCGATGTAATTCACATACACACACAGACTAGCGGCACCATGATTAGCATGGTGGACTCTCAATGAGATAGTAGTTTTTCAATGCATTTACAGCCACATATGTAGAAAATTCTCTGACGACAAAACATAGTGTCATACATTCCCTGGGGCTCGGTATTGCACGACGTGGAACGAATATTTTACATGGGAAATCAGCCATGTTTATTTTACTCAACAGTTGTTATATACACCAACACCGGCTTAATGATATTCACACTGTGTAATGCCCCAATCTACTAATCTGCAGCCATTATACGCGTGCTGCGTGTACATACTCATCCAATCAGTGGCCTCAGCCAATTTAATCGAACCACGTGGCATGTACATCGCCATCTCAAGACAACGTTTCCCATAGTTTGTATGTGAATATTCAGGTAGGTTTTCACCCACATTCCCATATATAATTTATACATTTAGTGGAGATATCAACAATCTCTATTTTTCGTAAAAAAATATATTTTCGATTCCTACTAGCTCTATTATTTTGATGATATAACCAATCTACTATTTTTCGAAAATATTATTACAATTTTTACTTCTACTTAACAACTGCCTGCTCAATTACAATAATTCTTGGTATGTTTGTGCCTTGACCGCTGTCAGATTTGTTTATTTTGTGATGATATATTAAATTTTCTGTTTCTGTGAATTTCACGCCACCGTTTTCTTATGGAAATCCCAACTGGATACGTCTGAAAATACCATAAATAAATGTGTTACCCCGTAACATCTAGCCATATACACCAAAATCGTCATCATATCATATGTGTTCGGCAACCGAACGAATATAAAGACAGCCGCCATCTTGACTTAAAACAAGATAACTTATTGGTGAGCATATTTCATCAAAAGAAACTAACTAGACTAGACTAAACTAAACTAAACTAGTAACTTAATTCGCTGTCAAACATGTAAGTTAATTTCGTATTTTCCACCTTAAATGAAGTTTATTTATATCTGACATGGATGTCAAATGAATAGTTAATGGTTGATTGAACTCTTTTGGTGTTCAGAAACCATGGTTTAAATAAAACTAAACATACTATATCACGTTTTATCAAAGCATTTTCAACCCTGAATAATTGTCCTGTTTAAGTGTACACGATTGTTTACGTCAGACTCTTTGCAGTTATATTAGAAGCACTTAAAGAACATCAATTTTGCCCACGTACTTAAATATTGTTTTTTTCATGAAGTTTTTAAAACTGTATTAATATTGAATAGACTATATCAGATATTGTGTGCTTTCTATATATGCAACGTGAATTATAAAAATAAAACATTTACTACAAAAAATGTGTTTTCTGAATTTATAACATCTTGATGTTTGCCAAAACAGTTTCTGCATTTTGTACATTATTATTTAATCATATACTATGAGATACCTACTCATTGACTTCAAAGCTCGCTTCTAGAATTGCAATGGATCTAGAGTCAGAATCTTGCGAGCCAATACTGAACTGTACAATATCTCGCTATATCACGTGATTCCAGGCTATACTTTGCCCATGTCATCGATGTCTTCAATTGAATCAAAATCTTTGAATCAAATTTACCCTTCTGAATAAAATTGTCATATAATTTTCTTTTCAAATTGGAAACAAGATTTAGTATTGCACCATGAAAACCATAATACTACTCGATAACTAAGTCACATTTGGGGAACCAAATGCATTACACAAGCTGCTTTTATATCAAAGTCCTATTACTCTGCTGTGAACTGTGTCGAAGAAGAAGAAGATTTTCATCAGAAATTAGACACTTTCACCACTTGTTTTGCATTCTTGTAAAATATTATCAGTTTCACTATTAAAGCATTCCTAAACAGACTTTGAAATACAACCACCCATCCACAATGCGGACCAAAATCTAAACTATCGGTATTGCGTCGAGTACAAGTTAGTGAACAGTGAACGGTCGGGTGCTTTGCCTGGAACAGCCTGACGAGTGACGCATAAAACAGTAATGAAATGTTTATTGGGTTTACATCACAATTAATTCAACTAAATTATGCTCTTTAATCAATTTCGCAGCGGACTAACACCACAATTTGCCATCATGGAAAATCTTGAATTGTGCATGCGCTAGTTATATAATATCTTCGTAAGGCATTCTGTGATTCGTTGAAAAAACTAGTCTTGTTGCACGAGATTTCCATATGGATTAGGTCAGATGCATCTAAGACGACCGAGATACGATACATAAAAACAAAAATAACAATAACAAACATGGATTCTAATTAGATTGATAGTTAGCCATTTTTAATTAATCCATACACATGAAATGATGACATAATTCACAATCCACTGTGTATTGGGTATTATTTATAGACTACTAATGAAATCATCCAACCATAAATACGTTGATTCATTGCGTATATCACTGTGTATGTCACCTGGGAGAGTGAATAAGTAAATTTATGTGTTCTAGCATTGCATCCATAGTTAACGTCCGGAGAAGTACACTGCAGTCTTCTGTATAATCATAGATACTACTGAGAGAGAAATGAACACAATAGAGATGTGGACTGGAAATCAAAAGCCTGTCGCATCGATCACAGAACCAGAAGAAGGGGAAAGCGCGATCAAGCGACAGGTGAACGATCACAGATGTCATGGCTTCGATGGCGTCCGTGCATTCACACAGGAAACGACAATGCACGGGATACGTCATACGATGTGTATCAATTACAGCCCACACAGAAGGTAGGAAACATATACACTCTTACTAACAATATACGAAGACAGTAAATAAGTAACTATAAAATGTTTGATTAAAGACTACACGTATATTTGCGATGTATGTTAGTGTGTGTAATAGTGGCAGGGAGCAAGGTATAATCGACTTATCAATCAAGTAACATAAAACTAAGCCATAGCTTAGTGTTTGCTGAAAGTACATTATGATTTACCGGCGTTACCCAGCAACAACAGACAATAGCATAAGTATTAGCTATATCTACATTATATTAAACATCTACTGTCGTATTACACTTAGACCTCATACGTTTCATATGTGTTCGTATTTCATGTTGTGTTCGTTCAGCTAAGTTGATATCTTACATATGAGCCATCGACAATTACAACATCATAGAATTGCCAACTAATCTCGGAATAGTTATTGTCGCTTACATAACAATAAATAATCTTAACGTGTCATAAATTCATGAACTGTACATGTGGAAAATATAAAAAAAAAACTCTCGCTGAACTAACTTTGTTTTACCTCTGCCCATAATTGATTCATAGAAGCTTCGAAACAAGTCTATATAATTAGTTCATAAACAGTTCGGTT